TGGTATTGAATGCTTCCATAATTATTGTATTGGTGAGCGTGAGTTTACCGACGCTGTCGCTGAGATCTTTCTGACTGTATTCATATTTTAGATACTATAGATCTGTGGCCGTGTGATTACATCTTCTTCTCTTCTAAATTAAGAAAAAAAAAGTTATTTATTTGTAAAGCCGTTCGTTGCTAATTTCACATGTTTGCTGCTTTTTCGTGCTAGTGAGCTTCATTTCCACAAACGCTATTTGTTCAACTCTTTAGGTTTATTAATGTACACTGTATATAGAAATCAACTGTGCTTCACGTGAACTGAAAAGAAAAATGTTGAGATTGGGGTTCTTCATTTAAGGGATTTGTGTATTTAAATAATTTGCTCAATTTAGTGTCTTTTTTCCTAGTGTTTTCGTTTAAGAACGTTTGCGCTAACTCGATGTTAGAGTATCCTCTGCGGATGAAGGTTGATCCAATTTTTCCGTGAAATCACTTTCTTTCTGAATTCTTACTTTATAAAGAAAATCCCCAAAAAATATATAAATGGACAATTTCTAATTATTTTGAGCTTACAATTCTTTTGGGTTCTAATTAAGACATGAGTATAGGTATAAATAACTTCAGTGGCCTTCGTTGAGAATAGGTCTAACTATGGCAATGACATTAGTGAAAGTCTATGATGTAGTGGGTCCTTTAACTCAGTCAAAAGTGAACACGCATCAAAGATATAATTCTTCGTTCAATTTCGATTTTGTAGAACGTAACGAGGCCATAATTGTTATCAAGGATTAAAGCTCCGATAAACTTTGGCCATTGACATAGGCTTATCCCAGTCAACCGCAGTCCAAGTTACGAAAGTAATATTTACGTCTGAGCGTGAATGTCCTTCAATGGAAAAGCTGATAAAATGTGGCGAGCAGCTATGTATATTTATTGGAACAAAAGAAAGTTTATATTACAAAATGGTTTAATTCACAAAGGACTTAGTTGGTAACTCACGGTGGCCACCATTTTAATGTATTTGGTACTGGTATGGCTGTCGTGACATCATGTGAAAACAATCTATTTTTCATCTATGATTAATCAGTCTTGCATTATTGCCAAAAGCGGTAGTTCTCATTCCATAATATTCTAAACGTGGGGCTGCACGATTTCGGTAAATGTCAATTGTTAGCGAGAAGACAGTACAATTCGGTCGTAAAATTTTGTAAAATTATGCAAGGCATATGTTATCATGGATTATGAAACCTGTGTTATTGTCTAGACAACATTCTCCACCTGAATTATCCAAAATGATTTACTGCAGGCTTCGTTTTCCCTTCGTATCGTCGCTATAATGTTAGCAAATCAGATATGTTATGGAATGAAGTTATACTCTGGGTTCGCCCTTCTGGACCACGTGGAAGTAAAAGAGAGGCTGGGAACAAGAAAGGGAATTGCAGGAGGTACATGCTGTGTACAACGAGTACCATGACTGATTGCATTGGATTATGCAAATAAACTTGTTCTCCTGTTATGTTGTTTGGGATATGAAATAACCTCGATCCGTTAGAGGACTGGATGACTGTCGGTATTTGTGCAACTGTGCACCTAACCCAACACCAGTCGACCAATAACAAGTTCGGGTTAATGTTGGGTGAGGGGAGGGGTGGGTTGCAGTTGCCCACATACTGATATTGATTCATAGTTACTGTGACTCAGACGGATATCGCGTAAAGAGGCCTTTGCTACGCGCTAGGTGGAATGAAGGAGGTACTCGAGAACGATGGAAAATAGGTATGAGATTTGTAAAAGATTACTTTTTCAAAAATTTCCGGAATTCTTAAAGCTCTGTTTTATTGCTTCAGTTGCCAAAAGGGTGAAGGATAACGTTAATTTAGATTGAATGCGAATCTTACACGGGGACTTACTCGGGCGCTGCTTACACTATTGCGAATACAATTGATGACATACTTAAAGTTCTCTTTTCAAAGTGCTGAAGTTTTAGCCGTCCACACTCCTGATATCTCCCGCCGAGAAAAAGAGCTCGAATGCAGACTTGACATGCGCACAGTAGGGAGATGAGGAGTGAATTTCTCTGTGCGAATACTTAGCTGACCTGTTCTTCCTTCCTCTTTTTAGACTCTAATGATTAAAGGGGGTAAGTTTCTTAAGAAACTGTGGTGCTGCGTCGGTGGGAGAGTATAGTAGGTAATTTAGAGTTAACAACTGAGTTAAAAACGTAAATTGGCCACCGTAAAGGGTAAAAAAGTTGACGTTTCGAGCGTTAGTTCAATCGCTCTGACGAGGGGGCTAACGCTCGAAACGTCAGCTTTTTCACCCTTTATGGTGGCAAATTTACGTTTTAAACTCAGTTGTTAACACTAAATGACAAGGGAATATCTGCTCCTAAAAGGTTAAATCTGGCTAGCTGAAGGAAAAAAGAACAATTTTGACGAAAGCAACGAATCGCGTAACTAGTGTCGTGTCCGCTTTGACTAAAACTGGATTCCCCGATAACATTTTTTTTTCTTCATGCACGCTTTAGGATACTGTTATGCTGAGTGGGTTGCGAGTGAATCACTGAGTCATCGGCTAGCGGTTCATAACGGATAGATATACTGCTTGGTACTCAAAATTCTTTCACGTTCGCGTGGAAAATCTGGCATATCTTTGAAGCGGATACATTTAGACATAAATAGCATAAGGGATCCTTAATCAACTCAATACTATTTTGAGTCTAAATGACGTTATCTTGTCTCAGCCAATATGGACCAAAGGCTGTTTCGGAAAAAATAAACGACACAAAACTCACACGTCGTAGTCAATAGAATTGATACGTCCCTTGAACATTGAAGACTCGATGAACAAATACTCATGAAGAGATTTTTTCCTTCACAATACTGGTCTTCATGCGTGAGATAAATTTCTTGAAGGACTCGTCTTTTGTTCCACACTCCTTTAAGAGCTTTAAAGGAGCTTTGTAGTTGTGCCTCTCTAAAAGTCACCGATTAGGTAAGAGTGGTGTCGAGAAGGTCAGTGTAGATTCTTTGCTTAATCAGTTTGTTATTTTAAATCACGCATCACTTTCTTGCCCAATACGATCTGGTTGATGCCGACACGGAAAGTGTCTCCTTACCGCTACTAGCCAGTTTGGCTCCAACGGACGCGCGCCGGATCTGTTTATAGTGCACCTTTTCATCATTCACAGCGTAGATTCTTAATCTTCAATGGCTGCTCTGAGTGTTATTCCGCCTACTATACATCACGGATAAATTTCCAGACAACCGTATCTACAACGGAGGATAAGATTTACTAGTCCGATTTAAGTCATTTTCAGAGTGACACAGAAAATTGTATCCCATAACCTCACGTTAAATTCGTTGTTAGATCTCTTTGAAGCCTTGCACCTGCCTAATTTCAATCAAGCAAACCTTGTTTTAAAAAAGATTTTTCAGCTTCCTTCTTCTATGGTCTGCTGTGCGTGACCTCACGACATGTTACATGTTTTCTATAAACACGTGTAGATCGTGCAGACTGTTTAAATATGATATCACGAAATTGTTGAACAATTTGAACTCCGAAACGAATTTAGGTTGAGCGGGATTTTTATAGAAGGCAAACTATACGTTGTATATTCGATACTATTGCTGTTCTTTTGACATGGAAATATCTTTACTCTTTCCCTAACATATGTCCAATAAGCAAGTTACTTTCGTGTTATCTTGCCTTGCCGCCCCGAGGCCATGGTATACACCTCTTTCCGTTTGACAGCTGACCTCTCTCGTGCCACGGAAGTACAGTCAACTACGAACAACTGGCTCTTTTGAACAAAATTGTTACGTCACTATAAATAAGCCACATGAACAGTAAGTTGAGGCCTCAGTCAAATCAAGACTCCTTTGGGACGTGAATACAGTCAGCGCGTACGGTAAATTCATTCAGATATCACCTCAGTATATCAATACGGGGAAAAGAAGAACGAGTAATTGAAACACTGGGGCAAAGCGAAAGATAAATAAGGTGAGGCTATATTCCTTTAAGAACTTAGGTTTTTCAATGCGAATTTAGCAACGTTTCGCTCATTTGAACTGTTATCTCATTCTGTTTAAATTGTTAACATTTACAAATTTTGGCGTAAAAAGCAAAAGAATAAAACAGCAACAATTACAACAAAAGTTACATCTCTGAACTAATGATTCATTGACTTGTGAACTCTTATTAAGAGCAGACCCAATTTTTTTAAAAAAATTGTCATATTAACCATAAGTTTTACACAAACAAGTACGAAGTCTGACAGGCCTCAACGAAAGCCCTCCTATCTTGAAAACGTGTTTCAGCTGTTTCATGGTATAATTCTAAACTAGTTTCATCTTGTTCACGAATTAAGTTATGCAAGAAAAACTCACAATAGTTGCCACAAACTTGTGTTTTTCTTTCTCCTTTTGATTCACAATAACTGTATTTATACCTGTCATTCAAGTCACATTTAGAAGTTTATGTTTGGCCCAGCAAAACCAATATCTTTATCTGACATTCATTATGAAACAGTTTTAAGATTAGGTTTAGGTTTGTCAAGTTTATGATGCTAATAGCGTCTACTGATCGCGTGCGTGTTAGTTTACTCCTGAGTGCCCAAACCCATTTGAAACGCCACAGGTTTACTTGACATCTCAAATATCATTACCGGTCCGTGAACACTCCAAAACGCGTCCTCGCGTGCATCACGAACAACATGGCAAATGCTAACATGCAAGCTACTCTGAAGCTGAAATTACGGTGGACTAAAGAAAACATTGTATGGATTTAGTGATCAAACGACACTTTTTTCGTGTACATGGCGTGTTAAGTTATCTTAGCGGCTGGTATTTGAATTTACGTAGGGGAAATAATTATGACGTTGTGATAGTTTGCGTGATGTGGTAATTTTCGTGACCGTTTGTTGTCATAGCCTTACTCCCATAGTGCTCTGCGCTAAAGGGTGTTGCGTGACGCGTGCGCAGAACATGGCATTGATAGACCGCCACATGTGCGTTCGAAAGTCCAGCAGTCTCTCACTCAGTGCGTACAACTCGACTCACCAAGAGCTGCGTCAACCGATCGCGGCGAGGGGATGTTAGAGAAAATCGCTATTTCTCATAAGTGATTTTCTTTCTCCCTTTCAGCAAGCTGCTGAATATGCAATGCTCCTAGAGCGTCAACAACATGGCCCTTGAATGACTTGGGTGGCTAAAGCATCGCGTCTTTGATGGCTGTGTGCAAGAGCCGGTCTTTGATGGCGTTTCCCTCGACGCATTCCCAACAACCGTCGACGAGCTGCCACAATTCACATTACGCTCCGCTCGCCCAACAAGAAACACAACCGGACAAACCAATTGGTTATGGAGCGTTCGGCGTAGTGTGGTGTGTATTTTGGAAGATAATCGTATGAGGTAAGTGGGATTTTGAAGCGTTCTTTTAACAATTGTTCCTCGTCCTCGCAGGTCTGTGACGGATCCAAGAAATGGAAAGAGGGTCGCTTTGAAGAAGATGCCGAACGTTTTTCAGAGTCTCACTTCATCGAAAAGAGCCTACCGGGAACTTAAGATGTTGTGTTTCTTCACACATAACAACGTAGGTCTTACTTTTTGTAAGTTCTGGATTTAAAATGCCGGTATTACATAGAAATGCCGAGTTAATATTAGAACGGAGTACATAATTATTCAAACATGCACTAGCCGCTTTTGGCGTGAGTTGTGAACAAGGAAATTTCATCTGTCGACTGATAATCAGCTGATTATTATTTCATCACGTAGGTACTCTCTGCTTTGGACATAGTTCACCCTGGTCACATAGATTTCTTTCAAGAGATGTATCCTTTGTTAAATACATATGTATTTACCTTTGTAGCGTGACAGAACGAAATCTAAAACAATAATTCGACATCAATTTCAGACACGGGTTTGGCTCAAGGAGGGGCTTATTCTACTTCGACTTTCTGTCGTTAGAATTAATTGTTTGAAAAAGATCCAAAATAGGAAAGTTATGTTGAGTACTGCGGAAATTGATCAAGATTGAGATGTTGAAGTTCGCTTTCGCTTCAAATATATTCAAAGCTTAACTACAAATATCGCTCTGCCGCCTGTAAAGAAATAAATTGAAGAAAGTGCTCGGCCTCCCATAGCGACTGTGTAAAGCTGTTTTCGTTCGAAGTGAAATGGCGAATATTTGTGGTTTTTTGTATATCGTCAATATGAACTTGGTTCTTTGTAGGAGTTTGAGCTTTTGAAAGAATCTCGACGATCGAACCCAATTCGCTTCCCCACCTGTTGATTTCAAATTTCGCTTTGTGTTTGATGACGCCGACATAGTTGACTTGCAGTTGTTTTAGCACATTGTAATTTTTTTGGCGAAACCTCTCGACATTTCTCCTTTGTGGGATTTTACAAGTTGATTACGGTCTTTTTACTCACTTGCATTGGAAAGTTGGGCCTTCTTTGATGGGAAATATTCGTCAGTTCCGGTCAATGGTCGGTCGATCTGTATTCGAACCATGACAACAAAAGGGACAACTTCCTTTGTGTTGATATCTTTCCTTTTGTAAAGATCGTCTTTAAAAATCGGACGCGGTAGATCATTTTTACTTACATTTTGGTTATTTATCGAGCGAGGTTATTAAATGGTCACATCTCGCCTTTTGATGGTATTTCTGGCATGTGTTTTTGTGTTATCGGTTTCTTGGACCAAAGATTCATTTCAGATCCCAGTTATCCTGTTTTACATATGTGTGGTAATTTCAGTAGCTACATTAGATAAGCATATCTTGAGTATTGGGTGTGTTTAATTCAGAAAAACCAACCTATGCTTCTTCTAAGCTTTCATTTTCACCAGATTTAACTAGATGACTAACTTCCTGTACATGACAAATGGAAAAGTTTAGTCTTTGTGGTAGGAATTATCATAATTTAAATTTTCAATGACATACAAGATAAACTGCCAGCTACAAGAGAGGGTAGCTGTCATGGTTGCTATGGTATCAACACTTCTTTTCAGGTAGGACTTAATTCTTATTCATTCATGCTCTAGTATAATAATCATTGGCATTCACAAAAACTCCAAAGGTTTTTTGTTAAAAAAAAAGTAAAGTGAAACAAATTGTATGGGGCACTTTTCAGTTTCAGTGAAACTGTTTAAGGAAGCTCTACCGGTTTTATCCATTGTCTCTGATCAAAGTCTTTTAAATTCCAAATATTGTTGGCATAGAAGTGTGGTAAAAATTATGACCAGTTATGGGGAAGGTGGAGGATTATTTAGCCACTTCCCCTCTCTTTTGTGTTTAATGTTGGAGTAACCACAAATCATATTAACATTGTGAAATATGGTAGGGCTCCAAGTAAAGTTTTATTTAAAAGTCATCATATGGAAAACCTTAATGATGAGATGGTCATCGGAAGCACAAGTTAAGTTGACAACAAATGAAATGAATATATGTCGGAGTAATTTGTGAAATACTTCATAGCAGACTGTAATGATCAAAGTGCCTCTTGGTTTTTCTAATAAGGAATATTTCTGGCAGTTATTTTTGGAGGTTAACCAGGTTTTATTTTGGGTCTAAAGGAAATTTTCTTTTAAAGAAAAGAACAAAATGTTTAGAGTGCTTTATGCATATGTTAATTTAACTTGAATTTCAGACCACAAACTCTGTGTGATACTGGTATTTCTGCTTGTTGCATGACTGTTGCTCAAAGGTCACCAAATTGACTACTTTCTCTGTGTATTCAGGCACCAAATTTTCTTTCCACTTGCCACAGCAACCAAAAGAGTCACAATATAGAGCTCTGAATAACTGCCTGTTTTGTTTGATAGGACAATGAGAATTCTTGCAACTTACACCTTTGTTTCCCAGGTAATCATAGTCATAAGGTTGAATGTCCACCTGCATTAGTCAGTAATAAAAAAGAAAAGAAAAAAGACTTTTGGTCAATGTGATGGAAATCACCCAGATTTTCATGGAGTGCAAACTATTATCATGAAAATTTTTTACTCCTCTCAAATACCAGTGGGTATAACAAAAACAAGTGTGATACAAACTTAATACTGAAATTTGGTGTTTCTAGTTTGTGGCTTTTTATATTAGAATTTACAATAACCCATTCTGAATTATAGTTTGGCTTCTTAACAAAGACTGACCATGACTTCTTACTAATGCAGAGAGAGTGTGACGATTTCATGTCTATAATTGTTATCTCTATGGAGAAAGGATGTACTCATAAACAATGTCACAAGAAGTTTTGATTTCAAAATAAAAGACTGTTTAAGTCAGTAATGTATTGCTTGCAAACAGCTGTTTGTAACCTGTTGTTGATGAATAAAAAAGTAGGCAGAACACTGAACATTTAAATGTTTATTCCGATGTAGAAGTTTATGTTGTTGAAGAATTTGCTATACTGAGTGGACTCTAATTAAGAATGGAGTTTTGAATGATGATCTATCTCGGAATTATTAAGAGCAGGTGTAGGATATTCTGCCCTTTTTGCTAGGATTTTTTTTTTTTAATAATGAACTGAATTATTGATTCAAAGTCAACAAGGGGCACCTTGCTGGGCTTAAAGAAGATACAGGTCATTTAACTGCTTATCCAAATAATGGAAAAGGTGGCTCCTAAGGTTTTGCTCTTTGTCTAAGTCTTGTGAATAGAAAAATCTTAGGCAACTGAGGCAGAGGGTTTAAGTTGTTTTGGCTCAGTAGCATACATGTCGTTATTGCAATTCATTCTTTCCCAAATCTAAGTCAAATTTAACCATTTAACTCCCAAGATCTGATTGTTAATTCTCCCCTCTAGCCACTAAACATATTGTTGTAAATTAGTTGTGATGATTTGGTGCAAGATCAAGATAACAACTTCTACCTGATAAGTTTGAATATTCTCATTACCTGTTTACTGGATAATGTGAGAATATTGTGGGGAGAAGTGTCATGTTGATCACTTCTGGTAGTTAAAGGATTAAGGAAGTGAATGGATGTATGTGTCACATGGCCACCAACATATTAAAGGTTAAAAGCAAACTGATCATCAGCAGAGGAGAGGGAGGGTGCAGTCAGAGTATATATCATTCAATCCTTGTGTTGCATACCTTGACTTGTTGTTCAACAGACATATAGTTTCAGAATTGATGCAATCAGATTTGCACAAAATCATTGTATCGCCACAACCACTTAGTTCAGATCACGTTAAAGTTTTCCTATATCAGATTCTAAGAGGTGAGTGGCTATTTGTTTTAGTGTCAAATAAGTTAAGGAAGGCTGTTGATTGACTGTTCTATCCCAGTCCTGAGCTGTAAACAACTGTTATCCACCCAGGGGAATGTGCAACCAAAATTAGCACATCCAACGGAGTCATGATTGTAGTCTGACATTAACCCAATAATCCGTTAAGTAAAAACTTGGTTGCATGAAGAAAGTAATTATTTAGGAATAAACATTACGAGAGGAAAGTTTTGCCTCATTTTTTGCAAATCAAAATGAAGACAATTTGGTCATATGCAGTCTGTCCCTACCAAGGGAAGTCAGTAAATGGGATAATCCCATTTAGAGATTACAGAAGGGTATTTGCTCTTACAAAGAAAGTCCAATTATGTTATTATATTATTTTCAAGTTGTTTTCCCTTTTGTAGAAAGTAAAATAATCTAAAGTGATTGTATCTGCAAGATCTAGCAAACTATACTTGGATGATGAGAAAATTAAGCATAATTGATATTCGGGAGAATATCAATGGTGTCCAACACAGGGATTTCATTCAGATTCTGGACTCAACGTCAACAGAGATTTGTGTCCATTTTATGAATTATTGTACATCCAGCAGTGAGTACCATCATAGATGTAACAGAGAAGTTTCAATATTCTATTTAGATGTTAAAGTTGCCCTTTTTTATATGTAGGACTTAAATATCTTCACTCTGCTGGGATATTGCATAGAGACATTAAACCTGGAAATTTATTAGTCAATGGCAATTGCCTTTTAAAAGTAAGTATAAATACTTGTTTCTTGTTTTTTCTTTCACTGTGTTTTCCATATGATGTTAAGGTTAACAACAGATCAAATTAAGATAAGACAAAACAATACATTCTGTGAGATGCTTGAACTCATGACTTTTGTTCTCTCAGTAACCTACAGTAGGTAACTAGTTTTGAGTTTGGATTTTAAATAAAGAATCCTAGATTCTTGAAATACCCTGGTATAGGTGCTGCATTTTAGGGGTAGAAAATTGAATAGACACCTCAGTGTTTAGTTAAGTAAATATGGTCTATGGGAAGGAAGTGGACATTTTCTACGCTAATGTATTCATTTCTTGACATCAAAGCGTAAATAGTTTGGGTATGCACCCAACTCTCTAATGGTATAAAAACATTCAATGACAACTCTGTTGGTAAAAACATTATTGCATGAAACCTTGCCTTTTTATTATAGTCATCTTCTCTTCTTAAACTCAAATTTCCTGTCTTTGATAACAGATATGTGATTTTGGTCTTGCTCGTCTTGAAGAACCTCATGAAAGTGCAATCATGACACAAGAGGTAGGGATATTTTCGGTGTATACCTTGTAACTTGTGTGACCCCTACAGCAGTCTTGGTGATTTAAGCAATTCAGATTTATCAGCTATCTTGTGCCTATAAGCATTAGTCATTTTTATGGAGTATATAGTTACATTATATTGAAGCCATGGAGATAGTTGTTGGCACAAATATGTGTTAAATTAAAGAAGGCAGCAACAGTATGCTGAACCTCAAACCCTAAAAAGAAACAAAAACAGAAGTACCTTGTTTCCAACTCTATTTGCAATCAAATGTTTGTAACAGAGAGGGCATAAAGGGCTAAAAACAGTTGAATAAAAAATCAATTAATGAAAGACATTTATGGTGTAACAGACCAAAAGTTGAGCTGGGTTAGAATTGTGCAGTTTGCTAGAACCTGTCCTAGGCAAAGATCCTGATTAAAATGGACATTAGCAATGGTCTTGTGGATGCCTGCTTTATACTGTTTTCACTTTTCACTTTGTTTTATTGTACAGTCTAAACAACATGACAAGGTGAGATTTCTTCTTTATCTTTATGACAGGTTGTTACTCAGTATTACAGGGCACCTGAACTGTTAGCTGGGGCTACTAACTATGGTCAAGCAGGTTGGTAGACAACAGTTACAGTATTGATCTTGATTCTCCATAAAACTATATACAAATGTGTGTAATTAAAAATATATTAAAAAGAGAAGAATAGCCTGAAAGAATTCCTGAACGGCACTTGAAACTTTGGACCTTCATGTACATCTATCACACATTGTATTTGGTAAACCACTTGGCTTCTCATAGTCCTTCCACCAACATGCTTAAAGTATATTGTAGTGGAAGACTGAAAGAAGATGATGTAAAATGAAGAGAACCTGTCATTGCTCTTAGCTCACACTTTTATTAACAATGTGAAGTCTAGAGTAAGCCTCATACATTTTGTTATCCTTTGTATGTTTGAGCTTTTCCACCAACATGCTTGAAGTATATTGTGGTTGAAATTTTAAAACTGGGAGAAGATGATGTAAAATGGAAACAATCTCTTACTGCTCTTACTTACACTTTCATTAACAATGTGAAATCTGAAATAAGCCTTGTAAATTTTACTATCCTGTGCATGTTTGAACTTTGACTTGATGAATGACTTTTCTTTTTTTTCCCATTTCAGTGGATGTGTGGTCAGTCGGGTGCATTTTTGCTGAGCTCTTGAGTCGAAATATCCTTTTCCAAGCACAAAGTCCTGTTCAGCAGGTAGGTGGATCTTGATTGCTTCTTTATTTTGATTGTATCATCAGACTTCCTGCAGATGTTTTAAGCTGCATTGTCTTGCTTCCAAACTTTATGACACGTGTCTGATGTATCTTTCCATCATTTCAGCTTAACCTTATCATTGATTTGTTGGGAACACCAAGTTTGGATGACTTATGCCGAGCTGGTGCCAGCGAAGGAGCTACTAAATACATTCTTCAGAAAGGGCACAAGGCAGTAAGTTACACAAAACTAACAAATTTGAAACTGATTTCTCCAGTATAGTTTTAGTAAGGTTTCAAATGAGAAAATTCCCATTGTGTTGAGACTAAACTCAAATATGCTATTTTCTGTCATCTTTTGTTCTAGCCTGCCTTAGCTAGTTTATATAATCTCTCTAATCAAGCAACACATGAAGCTGTTCATTTGCTCTGTAGAATGCTGGTGTTTGACCCTGTAAGTACATATTTTAAGATCATTATATACAAATATAACCCTGCTGTACTCTGGCAGAATATTCAATTGTTGTTAGCCCTAAGAATTTGGTCCAGAGCTTAGAGAGTGAACTACTGTACTAGCCTTTTAGGGACAGTAAGTTTATTGTCAATCAGAAGTTGGTAAATGACTATAAAGCTGTAGCAAGGTTTGAAAAGCTGATGTTTTGACTTGCAGCCCTTTGTGTGAGGGCAAACAGGAGCAATAGTCCTTAAATGAAGGGCTGTTACTCTAGGAGTCTGCTCATGAGGATATGCTGTCCAAGTTTTAAGTTTTGTTTCACTGGCTTGAATTTATTTAAATTATTTTCATGGCTTGTACTTAGACTGTAATTATCCCAACAGACACATATCTCCCTCAGTAGATAATTACACTGGTCAATGTATTGTTGTCAAGTGTGGTAAAATCACTTGAGTATTCATTCTTGGTTAAAAAGTAGCTCTTTGAAGTTAAGTACTGTTTTTAAAAGCCAGCCCAATATTGAGTTGGTTTTTCCTCCATGCAGGTAATCCAAACCACATTTTTCAACTTGCATTGTATTTTTTTTGTCTTAGACACAGCGTATAACTTGTACAGATGCATTATCCCACCCTTATCTTGATGAAGGAAGGTTAAGATTTCACACATGTATGTGCAGTTGCTGTCACACAACATCAGATGGGCGGCAGTATGTTTCAGGTGTGATTTTTTTTTTTTTTACTGTAATGACAATTTCATAAGTTCTTTATGGCATTTGATTTTGTATGTGTTATTACAAATTAATCTAACTTATTTCTTGTCTCTTCCATAGACTTTGAGCCTGTATGCCAAACAACTTTTGATGATTCTTATGAAACTAATCTCTACACCATTTCTCGTGTGAAAGGTTTGTGTGCAGATTTTTTTAGTTCTTTTTCCTATTTTCTATTCTATTTTGAAAAAAAGATTTATTTCTTACTGGGTTCAATTTCCTCTTTTCAGAGTCTCTTTACAAGTTTATAACAGATCGTCATCAGAACACCATTCCTTTGTGTATCAATGTAGCTTCTCCTTCTTTTAGAAGTTTTCAAAGGTAAGACAATTTTTAAATTTTCAACAATTTGTTCTTACTAGTAATATCACATTGCTTCTTTTTCAATGAGTGGACTTAAAGCTGACTTTTAAACTTGAAATTCCTCTCGCCATGTTAACCTTTCTTGTAAAATTTGTACTTATTTCAATATGCTATTAGCAGTTTCATCCCAGAGAAACTTCACCATTCAAGCAGAATTTTAGATGACTTATCCATCCACCTTTTTGGAAACCAATTTCAGTAACGCATCTTAAATTTTTAATACAAAAGACCTTATTTCTATTCAAAGTCAAGCTATAAAAAGGAATTGTGCTCTCTTACACTGCTTCTTGAACAATGAACCACTTACCATGTATTTACAAACCTGTTATTTGGCCTACAACTGTTGCTTTCAGTTATCAGTAGTTTAGTTTGCAGATAATCTGACCTCAAAATTAGAAGGTCTTGGGCTCAAATCCTGGTGAAAACTCACATTTTTCCTTATGCAATGTTCATTACAAATACTTATTACCTTTGATTATTTAATTTTTATTTCACAGTTCTGGAGTAGCTCCACAGCCAGAACAGCAGAGTTCTCCCCAGTTGTGGTAGTGGCTATCCTTTTTATCAACTAGTCATAAAAATTTTAAGAATCAAGCTTCTTAGTTTTGAAGGGAAGCAGATTTTCCAAATCAAGACCATTTGTTAACAGTGTGGTGTGGGACTTCTCCAGGAATTCTTTTGATCCACTCCATTTCTTTGCATATAGGTAATAAGAATTTTATAGGAACGGTGGAAGATATTATCATGTATTCAATATTTGCAGCTACATTCATCGCTTCAGCAAATTGTATAGGCCAAATTATCAATGATTTATGAAAAGGACAGTCCATTTTTGTCTGAGAAACAATTTTCCAGTAACTTTTATTGCACTGGGCCTTCATGTTGTAGTTAAGACTAGAGAAGTTGACATGGAGGGCGAAGTTTTATTGTTTAATGATTTCTGTTGAGTTTTAAAATGTTCTAGACTTTACAGGGTTTAAAAACTCTTTGAATCAAGGGTAAGCAAAGTGTAATTTCCTCCAATTAATTCTTACACCATTAAATAGAGGATATAACATTTATCAGCTGCATTGTATTGTCCTGATGCAATTGAGTATTAGACATTTTCAAATAAGTAACTGGCAGATGTTAGCAGTCAAAGGTTATGTGACTTGAATCGAAAGAAAAATGAATTCATCATAAATGATTGTAGGAACTTCTCTGGTACAATTTTATGGATTTTTTTGGAAATTTTTCTTAGTGGACCTTGCTAACTGTGTTGGATTAAGTTTATCCCATTTTAACCATTTATCAGATAAACTAGTTCTTTGCTGCTGCTGCTGTTTAGAAATATTATAACTATTATTATTATTGTTATTATTACTGATATTATTGTTATTATTAATGATATCATTATGTAAATATTTTTGTGTTTGGAAACTCCTTTCAGAATTGAAGATTCTTCAACTTCTCTTTACTTTAAATTTTTTTTGTTTTTGAGTCCATTGTTTGGGAGAGCTGTACACAATTTCAACACCGCATTAAGTTAGTAAAAAATAGAAATATTCTGCTTTTTCAGATAGTGAGTTTACTACTTCAAAGCCTTACAACATTAAAAAAAAAACAATTTTTTCTGAAAATTCACTAAAATTTTTTCCTCTCACTTTATATTGACTAGTACAAAATTTGCATCATGCAAGAATCATTTTTTCAAAGTTTCCTTTTAGCTATTTACATGGAGAGTAGATAAATGTAGTCATTCTTCAAAGTCAAGACAACTTTCCTAGCAGACATTCTGAAAATCACAATATGGAATGTTCCACGTTGTTGTAAGGTTTTGAGAAGTTAAGTCTGAGACATTGTATTGTCTGCCTAATAACTTGTGGACTAATAGGATTCTCATCAACAATTAAGTTCTAGTTGTGTAACTGTTGTCACTGTCTGAATGTGATAATGATGTGCTTGTTGTGCAGGTCGTAGTATGTTACTTTTTTCCCATCTCTATTTGAAGTGGTTTCACAAAGTTCCCATTTTTATAATGATATCTGTTGTAAATTGGAAAACTGTGTTTTTTCAGGTAACAAATAACTAGATAACTTTTTTTCTCATAATTTTCAATTTGTTTATTTGCTTTTTTTATTACTTTTTAAGACCCCTCACCCGGTTGGAATGGTCATCCTTTCATTTCTAAGAGTGCCAAGTAAATTCGAATTCCTGTTATCGTTTTACCGCCGCTCAAAGACGCTGTTTGGCAGCTCTTACGAGAAAGATCACCTTTCCAGTTAAAAAGGTTTTCAAAATTTACCTTTGAAATTATGACAACGGAAAGTGAACGCAAATATTCGTTAATGTAAAAGATACAGGCGGACTCCGATTGCAAATGATGAGCCAACTAAGGGTGGAATTTAATTTTTCATTTACTTGAAAAATTTGGTACTATTGGTCTGTAGTTGTCACTCTAGAAATGAAAGGACCCAGCCTGATACAAACACTAACTGCAACACTTGCTTCCAGACTTCGACGAGTCGTAATTATTTCTTCTTAAATAGAGGCCTATAGTAAGGAAGGGCAGTTAAGATGTTGTGGCTAATTAAGCTATCATTTACTGTACATGAATCGGATGTCTTTATTGATTCCGCTCTTTGTCCATTTTCGCGTTTTAATCTATGGAAAGCTTAGGATATGTCGAGTCTGTAAGGAAACTACAGATATGTGTAAGGGGACTACTTGAATTTATCTTTTTCATTTTTTTTATCATTTATTTATTTATTTCCTTAAGTGAAGTCAATATTTATATATATACATATATGTGCTTTTGCAAGAGGCTTTGCTGTGCCAAAGCTCGAAATGTGCATCAGGTAACGGCCTAGTGAACGAGCCGCTCTTGTTGTTTAGCGAAATGAATTGCAAAAATGGCGCTGATGGCAAGAAAATAAAAGATAAATTTTATACATTATAAACTGGTTTCCTCTTTTTCATGTGCATACTTCTACCCCGCATTAGTAACGATGAAACAATACATCTCTTAAGTATCATAAAATGGAATTTTGGAAAAACTGAAAAAAATAAATAAATAAATAAAGCAGACATAAACGATAAAGCTACAGTCACTCACCTAATATCAGTTTTCCTTGGCCGTTCTAAAATATCAGCTAGAAGAAATCCCGTTATTCGTAGTACCAGTAGCATCGGAAAAGACTTCCCTGAAGAAGCCTACCTCTCCCTCTTCAGCCCCATTCCCCCCTCCCCCGACTCTCCTGTGATGCAGTTTGTCCCGTGACTAAGGAAAGCCGTGACCATGTAGAACATGATAACTTTTAATGCCACAATTGATCGTGTTAACCCCTTTTTCCTTGGTTGCACGTGTTCTTACCTTTGAATCACACCTCTATCTGCTAAGAATTAAATACGGTGACCATCTTGGGAATAGAGGAGAAACAAAAAGTCACGAACCTCAGAAGTTTTCATCCCGAAAACCACGAACACGGCGTGACAGAAACACCCACTCACGAACCAGTCAATAATATTTATCTTGAGCTTTACTAAGAGAAGACAAGCTTTGATATTGTTGATTTGACATTGGAATTTGAATTGTTTTTCAAGATTCTGGAAAGCTCCAAGGATAGTTCACCCTTGGAGGAGACATCTGTTGTGGTTGCATTCCATGTAAAATTACCACTCCCCAAAAGTTCGTCGATTAGTTGTAGAAGTTTGAACAATCAGGTAAAGCTGCCATGAAATGTTGTTGGTCAAAACAGGGGGAATTGACTCTGAAAGGAACGAAATCGAAAGGTGAGAGGAAAGTTCTTTTTCATAAAAATGACTTTTCCACCTGACATTGCGTGTGATAAAAAATGAAAACTGTCAAATTACGACCACATACGTTTGTAAGGTAGTAATGGTAAAGCAAATTTAATTTTAGATCTCGAATTGTGGAGGAAAATATTGTTACTATTTGTTACTCTCGTACAAGACCTATTTAAGATTCTTGCTTTCCTTTTATTTTGTTATATGTAATTTATTTTGCGGTCTCAGTGGTTTAGACAACTCGTTCTAGAATAACCTCAGAGTCTACAAAGATGCAAATGTGATCTTAACAGTCCAAAAACCAAACGGAAACATCATTGTATTACGCTGAGATATTCGATCATGTTTCGTGGAAAGTTTCTTATGCGAGTTGTAGCTGAAGAATGATGTAGACTTCGTAAATGCAAAATCCAAACAACTGTGTCAAGAAAGTAGAGAAGGTTATCGATTAAACAGGTTTTAAGATGTTGATTCTCGATAGCCGATATGATATTCAGTAAGTCGCTCATAGCCAAGTTTATGTTATGAAAAGTATAAGTTTTTGGCATTAAGAGCAGAAGATACTTTTTGTCAGTAGAGAGTTGAGTGAATGGAGTATCATGATCATATTGATCTGCCGGAATAATCAAGGTTCATTTCCAAATTTTCACTTATTTTATTTTGAAATGTAAATGAAGGTTACCTAAGGAAAGTTTCATAACTGCAGTACCTAGAAAAGTATTTCCACAAGATTTGTTTTTCGTCCGTACTAATAACCATATTGAAATAGGCTTGATGTGTTTTATACAAAGTTCTCTCAAGGTTATTCAATGCGCAATATTTCGAGTTAATGAGATCGAATAACACTAAATTAACACGCTATCTTCAGAGAATGACGCTTATTTATTTAGGGAGGCCGGCTCACGCTCGTGATCTTTGTTCATGTTTTTGCTGAACTCATTCCCATGTTACTTAATTTGAAACTTTGCTGTAAAACGTTACATTGAATAGTAAAAAAAAAGTTTCTATTGCAGATCAGTCAAAGACAAAGCTACAACGGAATGTCGAAATTGTCAACAAGTCAAATATATTTGAATATCAAAGTCACACGTTCAACGGGCGCCATTTGAGATAGGGCAATTCGACAGCTGGTTGGAACTGGCTGTCCAAAAAATTTATTCATGATTGGATTTCGATATTAGTCAAAGGCGTTCATACTTAACCAGATTAAGTGACATATACTGTCAAAATGGATTTGAAATTCTGCTAAAAACGGCCCGAGGCTAAAGCAAAGGGCATGAACCCATAACGAATGAGGATGTCACGTGAGACACTCCGCATACTGGGTACATAGCCACCTTAAGGCTTTTGTCAAAATTTACACTATTTGCAAAACAATTGGTTGAACGCCTAACTGAATGAAATGTGATGCCAGCAATGTGGTTGTTGTTATTTTACATGTAACTGGAACAAGTTTTGCCGAGAGGACAAACTTTAACTGTGCATGTGTACTTGTAAAGTGTTGGCCACCAAAGTCACTTGACTTGCATATTTTATCGTCAGACTACGAGTTCATCGAGAAAACGTCATACAATTGACCCGAACAAACCCACAAAACCGATATTCCGTTGAACAACCTGCAATCAGAACATGATAGGCTTTTCTAGCATAATCACCCACAAATCTTAAGAGCATTAATGCGCATGACTGGGTTGACGTCTGGCTTAGTTCAAAGACTGATTGCACTCGACCCAAATACATCAAATACAAACATCGCTCGCTCACGGGGCGACTGGAGGTAGCAATTCTTCTCTGTTTTTAGTTTAACGGGTAAGTTTTTATGAGAGACTCTTTGACGATAGGTTACCAAACTAGAGCTATTTCGTTGACCGAGCACCACTGAAATTTCCATTGTACTTTAAATGATTACATGGTGTGGACTTTTAGCTTTACTTAAAGGACTATTTCTCCGTTGGTCCTGTAAACGAGTATCGTTCGCCCAGTGAGGTAAACGACGTAAGTGTGCGTTCTTTTGACACGTAAAATTGAGCGATATTCTTATATGCGACTGACACCACGAAATGATCTCTTTTCCGTGTGTTACTGACGGTGGACAAAATAACATTTCAGTTTTAGATTACGACAAAAGAACACCTTTAGAAATCCCCACAGCATTTGGAGGAGAAGCTGGTTCAGGAGACGAAAGGAGCTCTTTCATTTCGGAAAAATTAATTGAATATGGAAATTCCACGCACTATACAAACACATGTATTTTGAAGTTTTTTTTTCTTGTAGTAAAAACACCCGAGATACTCGTTGTCACGAACGGTATCTGTAGTTACACACAAGTTATTTCGTGACATTAAAAATATTGATGGGCGCGTTTCGTTCATTTGCGTAGAACAAAATATAATGACCGACTAAGCCACATCCGACATTAAATTTACATAGAATTGTTGAAAGTGCCAACTTGAAACGTCCTATTGTCGACAACGTTCACTCGGCCGGCTCGCCAAAACTAAACACTGAAGTTTAAATTTCAAATGTTCCCGGAATAACAACACTTCATATATCTGCCCTCTTACAGCCAAGGAAATTCTTGTTTTTCAGTGGAGAGTGCTGACCTGGTAAAGATGTCCTCAAGAATTAACGGCGGAAAGTATGAGTTGCGAGTTGTCCACTGTCTACAGGGTCACAAAGATGTACTGTATTGTGCTGTAGATCCCAAAGAAGAGACTCTCGCTACGTGTTCTGCCGATGGAAAAATAAATCTTTGGACAATTGCAACCGGGCAGAAGTTAAGAACCCTTTCAGGCGGCCATACGGACGAAATTACATCGTGTGCGTTCTCTTCGATAGGAAACATTTTGGCGTCTTCGTCTCGAGACAAGAAAGTCATTCTGTGGCATTACAAGACTGGAAAACGGGCTTCTCGTTTAGGTAAAAACTGTTATCCCTTTTTTTCTTAAATATCATTTTTATTTTTGGAATATAACATTGAAAAGAAAAAAAAAAGTACGAGTTCTTATTTGAATCATTTAACTCAAAACCAGATGCGCTATAGACAAAGTGCATTATGTATTCAATTGTTAGTGTTGACCAAGTAGATTTTCAATTGGCAAAAGGATTTTCGTCAGCTATAATAACAAACTGAACGATTAAAAGACGATTTTCAGAGATAAAATATTTAGCAATGTAGGAAAAGCACTCTTTCTCAGTAGGACAACTTGATCAGAAAAAGTGCCGATTTTTCAATTTGATGTCCGCGAAATTGTTTCACCGCAAAAGAAATCAACAACGATACTGTCGTAAAGCAGTCCGCAATACCTTGTCCGCATCAATACTCCCTGGCCTTAAAAAAGCCAGCTTTGTTTAAATATAGTCTTTTCCTTCTGAAGCTGTTGGAATCGAATAGATGTAGGAGGTTTTATAATTAAATTTGCTTGAGGAAAACATTGAACATAACACAACATGGTTTGCAATCGGATGATAATATTTAACTCGAAAGCGGCGGTTCAAAGCGCACCTGTTTGTCGCAGCTTAAAATCAAATATTTATCGCGCGAGGTTTGGTCACAAGTAGTATAAATTTACATCATAATTGAACCAGAGAATTATGTTTTGTCAGTTTTACTTTTTTCCTGGGGAATCCTTTTTTAACAGTCTGATTTTTTTTTCGTTAATCCAGATATAGTTATGTCTGTTTTGCGCAATTTCCCCCGATTTGTATCTTTCATTTTCTACTAAAAAGTATTGCTTTAGGCAGAACGCTTTAAAAAATGAATGAAAAATCTACTATCAGCAAAAAAATGCACTTTTGCGCAAGGTTACTCCTTAGATGTTTCAAGTTAATTGACTTAGTTGAAAGAGGAAGTTCTAAACATAAAGGTTGAATTAACCTGTACCAAGTAATTATCGCCTCTTGCCTGTACACAGATCCGATGGAATTATCTAGGTAATTTTTCAAAAGGGCCAGCAAGGTTTAATTTTTATCAGCTATATCTCGTAAAAGTTATATGAAAATTATCTAAGAAAATGATCAAAATAGTTGAAGCGATCGACATTGTTCTGATTCACAATCTTTCCTGGTTTGATAAAACATATATCGGAAATGAAAGCTTACCGTGGAATATTAGTTTTTACTTAACCCATCTGGACTGTTAAAAATAAAATGAGTACGATTTCAAGTACTTCCTCCTTTGCACAAAGACTTTGTAGTAGATTCTGTTTGACACAAACAATTCCACATGAACGAATATTCCTTAAAAAATCAACCGTGGACTTTCTTCGTCCTTGTCATTATAACTGATTCTCGAAGAACAAGACCACACAAACAAAAATACAATGAAACTTACTAACATCCGAGTGTTGATCAAACGGAACAGAGTTTATGTCATTCTAACACCGTATCGTTCTGTGATATTATTTTCTGTCAAGTGTTGAGGGATTGCTGTAGTTTTGCTGTCTATCGATCGTGTCGATCTGTTCACAAAACTCACACTATCCTCTCATCCACACCTTAGAAGAGTCGTGACTTCGTCACCAACATTTTTACGCTCTTCAGACACTTTCTTCGTTCTTACTTGAATGTTTTTGGTTCCTTGTAATATTTTCTTTCTTTACATTGGCTGTTGTGGCTATTTCCATGGTTTTTACCACATTCTGCTGAATTTCACTCTGTTCTCTTCAGAGGTAACGATCCACTATTTTATTTTACAGAGCTCCACTCAGATGCCGTCCTTCAATGCACCTTTTCGAAAGATGGAAAACTTCTCGCCTCCGCTTCACGCGATAGGACCGCTCGCCTGTACAAGATAAAACCAGGTGCAGGGGAATTTGTTCCCGGAGGAGAGGTTAAACAACTCGTGGGGCATACCGCCGCAGTGAATTGTATTCAGTTTTCGCCGGATGCTGCTGTGGCTCTCACGGGCTCAGATGACATGACGATCCGCGTATGGAGACAGGAAAGTGAGTGGAGCTGCGTGACTACTCTGGGCACATTACCCGGACCTGTAAAGAGTATAATATTTTCACCGGTCGACCCCGTGTTTGCTTCCTTAGCTGGCAACAGTGCAACAGTATGGACTATGCATGGGACTAGCTATAATGTTGAAAACAGTGCAGACATCAGAGGCAGCAAACAATTGAAGGTTTGTTTGTTAGGGTTATAAAAGAAAGCTGCTATGCGGCACTGAGGGAAAATGCACCTACGGCAAGCGTTGCATCCCTTCGGTAATTTTAAGAATCTTTCATGGATAATTCGTTCCCTCTTACCCTCTGGAAAGATAAGGAAGTAGAAGATAAGGTGGCCTGTCCGATCGGCTGACTGGCCTACCCCGGATACTTAGGTCTAAGGCTCCATTCCTGTTAAGGGTCGCAGAGGTTTTATTCGTCTTTCACTTATGAAAAACGTTTCATTTCATCCTCTATGTTTGTCTTTTATTCAGGCAATTTCCTTTATTCCGGACGGCAGGCACATAGTAGGCGTGGCAAGTGATACTACGATCAACATCTGGGACTCTGTGGAGGACCACGTTTGGAGCAGTTGGAAGGATACTAGGTACGGTATTGCTTAGTTTGTTCGGGATGTCTATACCTTGTCACACCTGATTTTATCTTCTCATCATCGTCTGTTTTCACCACATCAGTGGGTGCATTAGGAGATCACTTTCTCCAATAATCACTCTCTATGCTGTGCCCCCTTCCATGACACATTTCAGCTCATCCTTTCCAACTTATTTCTCCTCCTTTCCGCTTTTTTTCTCCCAGCGGAGCTTGCTAGTGTTTCATCTTATTCTAGAAAACAGTCGTTTTCACTCTTCCAGAGCAATTAACCTAACAGAGACCAGTTCCATGTGGTTCTGTTTCATTCGTCTTTCCCATCTCGACCACGCTCATTTTTGTCGCTATTTCTTGCCCTCTTTATCCATCTCAGTCATTGGCATCAGCACATGGTCAGATGTCGTTCATTAGCCGGTGTTATCTTACATGTCACACAGCCATGAAGACGTAGATCTTTGTATAGTCTTGGATAAGCGCATCTTGGTGTCATCTCGGGATTAACTTTTGGATAATAATCCGGAAATAAGCACAATATATGCAGAAAGAATTCTACAAATCGTGTCTCTCAAAGTAAACTCCAAGTAGTTATTTATCTAGCTGTCTTCAAAATTTTGCACCCATGAAACTTGATAATTGTTTTACTTAAATTGCTCTTGATTTCGTTTCAGCTCCAATCAACATACCGGTGCAATCTTAACGTGCTGTTTCGCTGGAAGAAATTTTATTTCTGCCGATGACACTGGATGTGCATTAGTTTGGGAGCTTATTGAGAGCAATACAAAGTAGCTCAGAACAACTATGACTGCGACTCAGTCAGGCTTTGTAAAACATTCTGGAAGATAATTATCTTCAAAGCATCCCTTAGATAAAGAACTATCAATTGAAATAAGCTCTTCGCTGCACACTGTTGGAAAAAAAGTCCGCAAATCTTTCATCTTACTCTGTCCAGCGCATAAATGAAGACAGAAATAATATTATCCGCAGGCTACCCAACCATCATCGATATGCATCTCTAAATACGGTTACCTGTTGAAAAATTGTTTGATGAGCTTTATCGCTGTAAATATATGAAGTATGTAAAAGATGATGTAAAAGAGAAAAATAATATATAACCTGAGCATGAATTATTAGTTTGATAAGAGCCATGTGGTACTCCTATGTAATTCTTACACGGGTATGTGCCGCCCAGCGAAGCCGTGATTTTTGGCCCCCTAATCTCGACTTGGGCAACGAAAACACAAATCTTTGCGAAATGAGCGAGAGTTCAACATCGAATTCCGATTTCGCAAAATCCGCATATCTTGACAACCGTTGGGAATTACCCAAGAGTACAGATACTCTTGCATGGTAAAGAGGGGTACTCAGAGAGAAAGGCGGCTTGTCCAAGAACGCAACACAAAGACAAAATTAGGGCTGGAAGCCAGATCTCCCGATCCAGATTCCAGCGTGTCCCCCACGCGTTTACTGGATCTAAAATTACAAATGACCACTAAGCTAAGAGAGCGTTTACTTTTATTATTTGACATATAAGTTATCTTCACTCTGTTTTTAGAGAGTAAGGAAGAGAAGCAATCAGATCCTTCTGTAACCAATCTCCCTCTAAAGGGCCTTCATTAGGCGGCCTTTAGGTTTTACCCACAACGTCATCAAAATCAAAGTCAGGAAAAATTACTCAAACAATTATAGAGTCATGAAAAGCACGTTTGAACTGAGTTAGCACGAGCCAAAAGAAGACTTATTATAACCAATCAAAAATTAAAAAGTATCTACAAGGAGCCAATGGGAACGCAATGGTAAAAGCAAGCATACTGCCTAACCTATCAATTTTGCATCTGATTGGTTGAGAGGGTAGCGTGAGTTTTCCAGACCATAATTATAGAGCTTAGTTGAGCAAGAGCTGGATTACTTTCAATACTTAATTGAAAATTCCTCTACAATGAAAGGTAAACTGAAAAATACGAAGAGCATTGTCCAGGTGAAAAAAACAGGGATTGTCTCGGAGAATGTATCATCGGCATTAAGCTGCACGAAGACAAAACCAATGCGAACCTTAAATAGAGTGCAGAGAACTGACACACGCAAACGAAGTAAGAAGTTAACGCGCTCACAGTTAACGGACCTGTTTACGAAAAAGCGTTTCCCTTTTGGTCATAATAAACCAATAAAATAACCCGTAAAATGAGCGACAGACTAACAAATGAATCAGGGCCCTTCAACTGAGTTGGTTTTCAGTTGACGGCCCATCGGAATAAGCTGATTAATTAATGAAGACACGAACTTATTGTGAATTAAAAAAAAAAAAATTAGGAAACCAGCCTCGAGCTCGTCAAAACATCAGTGATGAGGCGTCATTGATTCAGTGTTGTTTGTCAAGGGTCAATCCCAAAGCAAAGGATATGCAAAACCAGCGCAATCATCGATTTTTCTTCTTTACTTGACCAGACTTAGGCCATGCATAACATTAATTAACGACTTAAACTTCCTTCCCATATGATTTCTGAAACTTATTAAACACATAATCCCCAAACTTAAAGGGCTCATGAAGCGACAGCGCAGTTTGGGCAGTTCCACCGGGGTTTTCAGGGCAACGGTCTGAGGCCAAAACGTCATCAAGAGACTCGATGATGCAGTCAAGACCCGGTTGGAAAAAGAAAGGTGCTGATATTCGATGGTTTTTTGTCGAATTTCTGACTCGGTGCACTGTAGCACGGAATTTTCCCCTGGTCCAGGCCTCTATAACGTCACCAATGTTGACCACAAATGTTCCTACAACAATGAATGACTGAATGGGTAAATATATATGGAAAATCAAGCCTCAACACCATAAGGCTATGCCCGTGGCTCTTTCTGCCAGAACTTATCGTGTTCTTAGCAACATAAAGCAATACAGCATAAAGCATCTGATCTGCATTTCACGCAGACTATTTGCATAGTTTCGTGTAATTGTGTTAAGATTACTAGGTTTATCCTTTTGAGGAAACATTAACAGAATAATTTTAAAATTAATTAATCCGCATTCTCAGAAACGTTATCATGAAACATTACATTTGTGAATACCATTGGATGCAATCTGCATTTCGCGCAGAATGTTTTACATAGTTTCGTGAAAATACATGCCTCCATTGCGTAAACGTTATATAGAAAGGACGCGAAAAATATTGTAACGAGTAGAGGGAGAGATCAGAACTACGATTGTTTGAAGAAGTGAAGTTTGAACTGTATTTAACCGGGAACTGAAGGACTGGTGGATACAAATTGTACGTATTATCGTTTTGCCCTCGCGTTCACAAACGTACACTATTGTAATATTTTTTCATATAATTTTTGTAATTTCAGTTGACTATATATACACATACACACACACACACACATATATATATGTTCGACCAGATCGGATATCGTGCAAATATTTTTTATATTTTTCGAATCCTTGATTGCCGTGTTTGATCTTCAACTCTACCTGTGTCTCACGTGTAGGTGCACAACAGCATCTCTACTGAGAGGCAATATGAGAGAAATTTGTCTTTTCTAATAACACACTGACTAAAACCTGGGCTTGAATCCGGAAACTTCAAATTCATTCTACTGCGCTGAGAATTGTCTCCCCAGATGAACAGATTAATACAAGATAAACAAATGATTGAATCTTCTATGTCACTATTAACATCAAATAAGGAAGTGCACGAGTAAATAAATGGTTCATCTACCTGTAATGGGAGGAACATCAATCCAGTCTCCACATTTTGTCTTGACTTGCAGACCTCCTACGCTATCCTGCATCAATAAAGTGAGCACTCCATAATCTGTGTGAGGTCCAACCCCCCATGAGTCTGAGTCTCCAGGGACGGGTGGGTAATGCCATAGAGCCATCATTGGAAAAGCTGGGTTGAATTTGTCATGGAAGTAATCATCATTTAGTTCAAGACAAAGAGCGAGACCTTTCATCAAAGCATGTCTAAGGTTGAAATAAAAAAAAGATTAGTTTATTGGGGCAAGTTAGAAAATTTTAACAAGTCAATTAACTGATAAATTTGTCGACACACGAGCAAAGTAAGACAGAGATCATTTGTCCAGTACCAGCCCTCAAGGAGAAATGGAGAATAAGTCTAACTAGCGTACTTACCCTACCGAGGACATCTTGTCCATGTAATCATTGATAGTTGTGGCAAATCCTGGTAATTGTTTGTTGTCCGGGAACTGATTAGGTCCCATCATAGGTTCCAAGGCTGTTGTATCAGCGTCATGAGAGCCAGGGTCTGGGCCAAAATAAATTCCTTCCTTCATATCGATTTTGCTTGCTGTCTTCTCAGAACCTTTTAATAATAATACATTTATGATTACAATAAAGTAAAAACAGTAACAATCATAATTCAAGGCTGATCAGACTGAAATTTTTAGTAAGTACCATGAATAGAAATGTGGCATTGATTCTGGTATAAATGTATTTGAATGTGAATCTTTCTTTGCCTTCCACGTTTTTGTTTATTGAAAATTTAATTAAAAATTGTTCGTTGGACCGATGGATCAAAGGGTCGAAATTTAGGCTAGGACCCGCAGGCATCTTTGAGTTAGGATATATGCGTATCATAATGCACCACATAGTCAAGACACTATGTCACGACTAATTTCAGTGTTTTTCAAGAGATTTTAGTCCCTCCGTGGGAAATACAGAATTAGTGTCATATCTGATGAATTGGTAAGGAAAATTTTAGCTATTGAGAGAAAATTGACTGATATAAATACTTATCCGAACCATTAAGCGGAGCGCCTGATGTTTTTTTTAACAGGTCCAATCAGTAAATAAGATATTCTAAGCATGTTTGCGACTCGCTTGCAGTTTATTTCATAGGAAAAGAGGAGTTTCAAAAGTATCATTTTGATTCTCAGGCTTGCGTTCGTTTTAAGACAAATAGTCATAAATGGCTGTACCGACTGAGGTCCATCGAATAAGAACCAAATTTTCTCTGTTTGATGAATTACCCTTCTTTCTTGAGTATGGATAATCCACTCCGAAGCTCCGCTATTAGGGGAAGTATCCACTTACGAGTGTTTATTCCACAGGGGAGGTCGATGTAATTCTGTGGCGACTTATTGAAACTTCTAATTACGAGCACACTGGTATTTAATACTATTTCTATTGTCATTTTTAATATGCAACTAAAGTACCTAGTTGAATGTATCCACGATATGCAGGACTTTTCTTCAAGTTGATGTTTAATTTCTCGTCCATTGGCAGGTTAAAAAACTCTTTACTGCATTTTATTACATCAGCCATCAAGGATGTGTCCACTCCGTGACCAGTGATATAGAAACAAGAAATATCCTCACAAGCCCCCTTGATTTGAGCTATGACTTCGTGTATGTCCTCAGTTACTCCTGGGTAGAGAATCAAATCTGTTAGAGGTTCAAAATACGATACTTTTCAGCACGATATATGCCTCTTTTGTAAAAGCTATAGTCGACACTCATTTAGATTTTACAATAATATGTTAATTTCGACTTCTTTTAGCGGCCTATTGATTGAAAACTAATTCTGAAAAGTACTTGAAAAAGCTAGCTTTAATTAAGTAATTATTGCGCGTTAATAACAGTAAAAAATAACAGTAGCCCAAGCTATTAAGTTAATGTATGACCGATGGATTTCCTTCAAATCCTCTGATTATGATCGACAGGAGATGATAAGCTTTTGAAGGCAAAAAAAACCAACAAAGATTGAAAGGATGAACATGATGACAAATAAAACATGGTTACAATGGAAACTTTGATCAGCGCTTTATCTGTGGTTGCAAACATTATCTTATCATTGTCGGTGTAATTTCCTTTGAGGTATATAAAAAAAAAAGGTGAACATGAAATCTGTTGTCTCAAGTGTAAATATTCCTGTCACAGTCATTGTATCGCAGATAGGGGTCTTAAATGCTAGATTAGGATATTTTACCATTTCTAGAATGGCATCAGCAGGCCACAAATATCAACTACGATTTTTCAACTTAACCAAATCATCACTCTGATAAATGCTGTGCCTTCGTATGTTCGGTATGTTATAAAAAGTCAGTGACGGATTTTCACACAAATGAAAAAAAAATTGCGAATCATTGAAGCGTTTATCTAAACGACGATGCACTTACCATAACCGCTAATCAGAGGCGAGATATCTATTTGAGGAATTTCCATGGTTCAGTGACAGCGAAACTTGGGACCTTGAATTTTCTTAAGGTCGAAATGATTAAATCTTAGTTTTTCGGCTTATAAAAAGACCTCTCTGACGTCATTGTCTTTGGTAAAATGACGAAATCGTAGGGGGGTTTACTTAGTTCCCAGGGCTCAATCTATAATCAAAATGGCACAGAACAATAACAAACGGTTTCTATAGTGATTGAAACCAAGGTTGTGGTTGGTTGATTTAAACTAAAATTTTGAATGTGATTGGCTTATTGAACTGTCTAATAAAAATCATCCGATACACAACTGTCCGACGACAACGTTGCAAGTGAATTAGTGGATAATAGGTTTTTTTTAAACCAATTACAATCGAAAAAGTGTAATTTTTATTATTAATATGTTTAAAACAATATGTTCATGACATCAAAGTGTGATCTGTTTCAGATCAGTATTAATCAGCCGTAGCAGCTGTCGAAGTTACTTGCCAATGCCCCCTTAATGACAAATTCGAGTCAAACACAGGCTTTTCCAGATTGGATTAACGTTAAATTCCGTGAAATGCCCCACCATTGACCGGAAGTGTTAAACTTTTCATAGTCCTGTAACATCACACTATTAATTGCGTGTTTAAACTTCGGCATGACGCCGTTATTTTCCTGGCCCTGTCCTTAGGGTCGGGAGGGTGGGGATCTTCACTGACTAGCAGTAACTATGCAATACGGTTTTTAAAAATATGATTTGCGTTTACGAGCCTTAGTGAGACTTTTATTTGCGTTTCGTTTCGTGCGCATTGATAAACAAATCGTTTTAAATAATTAGTTTTTAAAAAACTGAAACGTCTCGTAATTGCAACTCATGTCAGGTGAACTTTCCGGGTTTTCTTACAGGAAATTCGTTGTAAATGTCTCATGAGAAGCCTGGACCACATGTCTGTATCGCGTTGGTGTCCATCTTGTGAGGAACCGTCCTGTCAAAGACAGATATTCAGCCCCAGTCATTTGGGGCCTAAGCTAGGGTGCCTCATCAAGCTATTTGACACCAGACAAAGGACTTTCTTTAGACCTCACTAAGACAGGAGTTCTGCAAAAAAACGAAATATTATTGCACGAAAGACTCGCTGGTTCTGTCTTTCTCTCGTTACATTGGAAATAGAGAGCTGACGCCAGGACGATTAAAAAGAAGCTTCCTTTCGTCTATGGAATAATTCCATGGGAAAGCATTGTTTATATCAGAGGTAGAGACGTGATTGATCTGCTGTCGGGGTCCTCTTTTTTAACATGTGGATATACGAAGCGAAGGAACAAGCTTTTAAGGGGGCTCCGATATGCAAGTGAGTCACTCACTCACAAAAAGGTGTAGACACTGTTGACTGATACTGAGGTATTTACTCGCCCCCAACTCGCCCGAGTCTGACGTCTTAATCACGGAACTAACTTATCGTGAACATTAGCGGCCCTGGAGAAAATAACTTCCTGTGCGTAATTCTGTCGATAAATGAAGGATATCATTTTGGATGGTTACCATCATTCTGGATTTCTCCGTGACCTCCTAGAAGCTTTCGACAAAGTCACGAGGTGAGACCGAAAAAACCTCCAGAACTTTTTGGGTTTTTTTCAGTTACGTTAATATTTACAACGCAAGTTTTGCAATAAGACTTCTATTTGCAAGTTCACAAACACATTTCAACTCTAGAATACTTTATCCACAAGTTGGCCAAAGGTATTCTTTAATTAGAATACGCAATAATCTGCAACAAAATACGTCAATTTTTAATTTACTGCTCCAGGATGTTTGGAAACAACTTTTGGTGGTATCCCCGATACGGAACTGTGTGGGTAAGGCGCTAAACCCCAACACTTTACTCATGAAAAAAAAGTAATGCAGTTTACAACTTTATTTTCATTTCTTCATTCTATCTCTACTTCTGGTTACACACTTTTTTCAACATGTGCGAATACCTCAGATTCACTTCGTTTAGATTTAGATAAGATTTCCATCATGAGTTACCATCCTCAAGTATCAGTTTCCAATAGTAACCAAACAAAAAGTCAATGCACCTTTTCTACAAAGATGCTGTCAAATGGAAACTCTTAGAATACTACTTAAAAGACATAAACACTCCCTCTTGGTCTTGGTATTGAAGAGCAGAAACTGTTCAAAAATTATTTGTGTTGGTTTTTGAGAGGATAAAAACTATTAATTAAAACAACATCAGTGAAAAAATAAACTGAGAAGGAACAATGATTTATAGACTGCCAATGAACTGAGTAATATTCATGTAGGTTTACCATCCACAGAAGAAGTACAATTACTCTCATTTCATCCCAACTTGACACTTCAAGATTAAGACCAAAAGGGTGTAAAAAAAAATTTCACCAATTTCATAAGCGAGGGTTGCAAAGGTGCTCTGTTAATCGTTGTCCTTTTATCTTACACACGAAACTCTTGGTATTCACAAAAATAAACAATATCAAGAAAAAATTATTCAGTAAATACAATCCATGCCTTTCTTCACTAAATTATGAATTCTGATGTAAATCATAAGAAAAACTAATTCCTAACTAACTTCAAATACTGTAGTTGAAAAAAATATTTCTAAAGCTTTCCTTGAACTTGTGTTTTGAACCAACATTTACTAAATTCAGTTGCTTTTCAGGCTTTAGGCTAACCAATCAAATGTCCAGACACCTGTGATAAATAAATTCTGTGAATAATATGACTGTTAGAAAACAGTAAATTCAAACTAAAAATCAATTTCAATAAAACAGGAAGCTGAGTAACTTATGATTAAAATGACTTAAGAAAATAAAAATTTGTATGCCTTTTTTTTGTAATCTGATTGAACTAAATTTTCTTGATTAAATGCCGTGTCTTCAAGTCCTGTATAGATTGTATAAATATACCAGCTGTGATTGGCCAAACATTTCTATAAATAATTATCATACACATGATTAACCACTGAGGTAACAATTTTTACTGTGAGACTCAGAAAACTATGTTTGTAGTGTTGTGACCAATCACAATGAAAGATGTCAAATGAAAAAAATTACATGAGAGAAATGTTTTCAAGGTTTTTGAATTCTCAAACAACACTTTTCATTTGTTTCAAAAGAAAAATTTACTAAAATAAGAGAAAAAGTAGTTGAAAATTAAGATGCATCATTTGACGACATTCACTCTGTCTTAAAGTAATAGTTGCAGTAATGTTATAAAAACACTCCTAAACAATCTGTTTGACAAATTTTAGCCAGGTTGAGGTATTACAGCATGACACAGCTGTGCCTAAATAACAAATGACATGCAATACTCTGTTGGCATTTAAAAGAGAAAATACAGTATGTGAAACAAATCTTGTCATTTGATTCTACAGTTTACTTTACCATTAAATCTTCTTCATGGATCAGTGTGGACTTGAGAGTATTCTCCTTGGACATTCTCTTTCTGACGATATTTCTTGGTGATCAAGATAGCAAGAACTAATGCTAACAGCAATGAAATTAGGCAAACAACTGTTAACCCAACAACCAATGAAACTGGTACATGCTTCTTCTTCTCCTCATCTGGTACAACTTCTTGCTTTGTGCCTGCCTCATCTGGTACAACTTCCTCCAGTTCTATGCCTGCCTCATCCATAGCCTGGCCATTACTTTCCAGAACAAAGTTTTCTTTTGTTGCTGGTCCTTTGGAAATTCTGACAATCTTCTCCACTGGATGATAGCCACGCTTCGAAACTGTCACCTTATAAACACCAGGAAGAAGCAGACGCCAGTAATCTCCATCTCTGGCACTTCTCACTGGATGATTGCGAGGGTAAATATTTATGTCAGCTCCTTTGATTCCTAAAAGCAAAGTAGATTTCTATGCTTAAAACTACAAAGTCTTTGAAATGCAAACATATATAAATGTATTAAATATGGTAAGTAAAACTGAGCACAAGTTGCTAAGTGCTCATATCACAGGTACAAAAGTAATCAGAATACTGTCCATAACAAAAAGTTGTCAGGCCATGCCTCACAGCATTTTATCCACAGAATTCAACAAAATTTTATAAAAGAAAATTGGAACAACTTTCAGACTCTAAAATTGTCATTTTCCTTCAAGACATTAACAATTTGGCATCATGGTTGAAATGGGAACTCGTATGACCTTAAGCAAATACTAATATAATTTCATGTGGACTTAAATACAACTTACCTTGTCCATTCTGGTCCATCACAAAGCCAGTCAAACCAGTATGAACTCGTTTCAGGAACTCCAGCAAGGACTTTTTGTTATCTTCCCAAAACCCTTGAAGGGTACTAGCTGGAGGAAATTTACAGCAGCTCACCTCCATAGTTAACTCAAAGCTGTTACTGTTGACGTAGTTGTAATCCTGCATTCCACCAGATACTGAGTACCAGTCCGCGCCATTGGTGATACCTGATTGCGAGCATGAAACTAGCCGTTCAGTAAAGTTTTCAAAGCAGGAAATACAAGTGGAGGGAGGGCAAAATACAGAGAATTTTCAACTTGGCTGTTCATGATTAGAAGAGTGGACGTCAATTCTTACTTACCCCTGCTGAGTTTATCCTTTTTCAGGTAACAATAAGTCAGGGTAAGAGTATTGACAGGATTTGAATCAATCTTGAAGTCACCCCCACCCCCCTGGCATTTAATCAGGTCTCACGGGTCCATGTCTGTTTATAGGTGCTGATGGAGCACTGTGCAAAAGAAGTGTCTTGCACCAGATCTCAATACTGTGACCCAGCCATGGCTTAACCCTTTAACCCCTAAGAGTGACTGGCATCTAATTTCTCCTTACAAGATCACCCCTGAATGAAACATTAAGGGTTATGAGAATAAGGAAAATTATTAATAACTAAAGAAGCTCTTAATTGTTAAACAATTCTCCTTTTCAGAACCTTAAGAAATGTATAGAGAAAGTATGGAGAATATGCATAGTGATGTTAGGGCATAAAGAGTTAAAACTAGACCAGTTACATGCTTACAATTAGTTACAACACCTTCCATAGAGAGAAGTGAACAATATTTTTGAAAATGCATTTGTATTTAGATCTCTGAGCAACTTTACCTTTTTCAAAATGATCCCCATCACAAGCAGCACTTGGTAGATGCATCTTTGGATGGTTCAAAGAATATGTCAGGGCCAAAGATCGGAAGACATCATCATCGGGTGTACTACTATATATACTTCGTTTATCTTGCCTGTTGTCATAAGGGTAATTTGCCACTAAAGAACCACCATGCAGATTAGCAGACAGAACAAAAGGTATTTCATCAATCCAGCTCTTGACAAGACGAGTTTCAGTTGCTAGTTCCCTTTTACCAACCCCAAAGAACTGATCTGGAAAGTTTCTGGTGACATACAAAGAAAATTAAACAGTTAGTGTATTTTCAAAGCATGAAGCTCCATTTTTTATCAACCTGTTTAGGTCTAATAATTTCACACCAAAACTTTAAAATCTATGTAAGATGCACATACAAAAAATCTGCCTTGTCTTCTGTGAAAAGCATGGAAAGGTTGTGAACCATACATGACAGTGACAAAAGCTACATATGCCTGGGTGTTTATGATAATCCCATTCATATACCTGCAAGTAATCTGAGTTTGCTTCTCTAATTCTTAGTGAAAAACATTTGGGCCTCGTTGTTACCTCCCCATAGATGTGCAAGTGTTTAGTTGTAATCCTTCAAATATGATTCTTGGCCTCTGACCCTTAACATTTTATTTCTTAAGACTTTAAAAAACCTTGAGCTTAGAGCAGTGAGTGTCTATCTTGAACAGGCTTCATTTATATTGCAACAATACCTTTGTACCATTTTATCAACATCCACAAGAAGATGCAAGCCAGTTGGGAGATTTAGAGAAATTTCTTAGAGCACTGGGTTAATATCTTGAACAAGCCTCATTTAAATTACAACAATGCCTTTGTATCCATTTACATTTTTTAAAGTCCATTCAAAGGTACAGTGAAAGCTTGGAGGTTCAAAAATACATTTCTTGCCTTATGTTAGGTTTCTATGGTTATGCTGTTATCCAAGGTTGAAAGTGAATTTTTTTGGCTAAAAAATCTCCCAAATTACGACTGTGACAGCAAGCCAAATAATAATAATAATAATAAAAATAAAAAGTTATGACTAGAAGCTAACCGAGAAAATTTGATGACTATTAAACAAACATACAAATGTAGTTCTAAACGCTTGCTGACCATAACTCAAGACAAACTCCAAGAAAGAGTAAGAATCCTTAAATATGTCAACCACAAGGAAAAGGGCCCCTGTAAATTTGAGAAACCGCTTAAATCAAAACGATAATACTCATTCAGATACTAAAGCCTAAAAAGCGATCAATATACCAGATAACTTCAGGGAGAAAATTATTGGACAACGGGCGAGCACCTTCGAAATGTTGGTAATTTATTTGAGTTAAGTATTCATGTTTTTAGTAAGAATTTACATAGAGTTTTTCGCATTAAGGCTGAAGACTATCTGTTTGGCCAAATTCTTTGGATAAATGTACAAATATTCATTCGAAAATCCTAAACTACATTAAAAGCAAAAACAAATCGACTGAGTCAAAGATATTAAGCCAAAGTACCTTCGATTCGAGCGCGTCAATTCTGAAAATTAAAATGAATTAATCAAGCTCGTACTTACCGATTCAAATCAATATCTTGCGCATTTCTTCTTCCAACTATTCCACTACATCGATCGCTACGATCGTTTTTCGCTTTCTCATAGCCATCGGGATTCATGGAAGGCATAATACTTATCCTTGTGGTGTTAATTAGATTTGTGATTTCATCATCCTTGTTGTATCCCTGAAGCAAGTGTTCGATGAAGTGGAGAAGAATTTCTCGACTCACTACTTCGTTTCCGTGCATATTTCCAATGTATTTAAATTCTGGCTCGCCAGGCTCGTGAATTTCAGGTTTGTCTGATATTTGGAGAACCCACAGTTCTCTGTTGTTTGTTGATTTTCCCAACGAGAAAAGTCGAGTTATAGAGGGATAAGCCGCATGTAAGTCGTTTAGAATACTCGTCATTTGTTCGTAGTCGTGGTGAGTAAAATCGACAAATCCATTTTGTCGTGTTTCGAGAACGTTCAGCGACAGTAGAACTATCAAAGCCAGAACTCTCCTATATACCGCCATTATCTTCAATTCTTCTTTCGGTGTATTCTTCTCCTTAACAACAAATTTGTTCCAGTCGCGCCTTCAGAGTTTAGAAAGGTTTTCTTAATAATTACAGACGAAGAAAACCTTTCAAAGATTTCAAACTGTTACTTAAGCGTCTTATTTGAAAGTGTTTCAGCAAATGGGTAACAGTTTACGTCAGTTGTGCCTCCTCTACTAACGTCAGCTGAATCATAAGGAAGCAGCTTCCAAACAGTAATTAAACGATTTGACAGAAAAAAACAACAACTTCCTGAGGCGATGAAGCGGCCGTACAAACGTTATTTCTAAACGATGATTCAAGGATCAGGTCGTCAATTCGTCTTTCAGTAGGTTAACCATAAAAATACAGAGGAAGACCGTAAAAGGCGGCGATCGCGAAATCGGTGAAATTTAGAAGGACAACTATCAATGCTGCGCCCACTCACAACGACACTCGAATTTCACATCTGCTCCCCCATCTTCCGTAAATTAGGTGATCGCAAAGGTTAGTGGGGCCGCACTTTACACTAGCCCTAGTCCCTCACGTTTTCTTTGGTAACGCCTGGTGATATCTTTACATTTGGCCTCATCGTTTACTAGGCCCACTTTTACGGAGACCCCGTAGATTGTCATGCACAAAGTAAGGAGCCAGTTAGGGAAACTTCAAAATCTTACAGGTGAAGGTGTAAGCAGCAGTCTCTCCCAGGGTGATTTAGAGGAAAATGGTCTTCAGGGAATACAACTGCGCAGTTATCAACTGGAGGGAGTGCGATGGATGAAGCGTTCTTTGGAAAATGGACAAGGATGCATTCTTGCAGATGAAATGGGTCTTGGCAAAACTATACAGGTTTGAAATAATCCATACTATTGACCTACTTGGAAAAATTTTCGCATAGCAGCATAGAATTCTTAAACAAAGCCCTGGTCCCAAAGGTAATCTATTACTGTTTTCGCTTTAGTTATCTTTATTCAAGAACTGTAGGCATAATGAATTGTATTATGGGGATGTGCGGAAAATTTGCCGCTATTTTGTCATTGAAGAATGCTGGTAAAAATTTGGTTACAAGCGTGGAAAAAAGAAAAAATTCGAGTCCTTACATAAAATTTTGAAGACATCAGTTTTGTTCTTGAGTCAGCAAGAGAGCCTTGGTTTTTTGTCCTTGGGTTTTAGACTAAAACAAGTTACCTTCTGCATTAAAAAAAGGAAAACTCATGTCTACTTTCTTTGGTTTTTAGACTATTGCTCTTTTGATCTATCTTCAAGGGGTAAACAATTGCCCAGGGCCATTTCTCATAGTGTGTCCATTATCTGTTTTGCAAAACTGGCAAAATGAATTCTCAAGGTCAGTGATATATATATTTTATATTTTATAAAGACTATCAGTTTATCAAGAGGGAATGGTTTCCCAACCTAAAAATTTTTTTGGTAAAGAATTTAAAACAACTTGGAATTGTGCAGTTGCTCAGCAACATTGCAATTAATTCAGATATGGCTATGTTGTTCAAATGGGCCAGTAGAACAAGCATTTTATTTTTCATTTTCAGGGGAGTAGAGGAAGGCGCAAGTCAAGTAATGCTCTTCCCTTCTGTACTTACTTATGTATTCTGCTTACTATGCACACATTACCTTACAATGCACACCTTACTTTACTATGCACACCTTACATTACTATGCACGCCTTACCTTACTATGCATACCTTACCTTACTATGCTCACCTTACCTTACTATGCAAACCTAACTTTACCATGCACACCTTACCTTACTATGCACACTTAACCTTACTATGCACACCTTACCTTACTACGCACACCTTACCTTACTATGCATACCTTACCTTGGTATGCACACCTTACCTTACTATGCATACCTTACCTTGGTATGCACACCTTACCTTACTATGCATACCTTACCTTGGTATGCACACCTTACCTTACTATGCACACCTTACCTTACTATGCACACCTTACCTTACTATGCATACCTTACCTTGGTATGCACACCTTACCTTATTATGCACACCTTACCTTGGTATGCACACCTTACCTTACTATGCACACCTTACCTTACTATGCATACCTTACCTTGGTATGCACACCTTACCTTACTATGCACACCTTACCTTACTATGCATACCTTACCTTGGTATGCACACCTTACCTTACTATGCACATCTTACATTACTATGCATATCTAACCTAACTATGTTCACCTTACCTTACTATGCTCACCCTACCTTACTATGCACACCTTACCTTACTATGCACACCTTACCATGGTATGCACACCTTACCTTACTATGCACACCTTACCTTACTATGCATACCTTACCTTGGTATGCACACCTTACCTTACTATGCACACCTTACCTTACTATGCATACCTTACCTTATTATGCACACCTTACCTTACTATGCACACCTTACCTTATTATGCACACTTTACCTTACTATGCATACCTTACCTTATTATGCACACCTTACCTTACTATGCTTACCTTACCTTATTATGCACACCTTACCCTACTATGCATACCTTACCTAACTATGTTCACCTTACCTTACTATGCTTACCCTACCTTACTATGCACACCTTACCTTACTATGCATACCTTACCTTATTATGCACACTTTACCTTACTATGCATACCTTACCTTATTATGCACACCTTACCTTACTATGCATACCTTACCTTATTATGCACACCTTACCTTACTATGCATACCTTACCTAACTATGTTCACCTTACCTTACTATGCTTACCCTACCTTACTATGCACACCTTACCTTACTATGCATACCTTACCTTATTATGCACACTTTACCTTACTATGTATACCTTACCTTATTATGCACACCTTATCTTACTATGCATACCTTACCTAACTATGTTCACCTTACCTTACTATGCTTACCCTACCTTACTATCCACACCTTACCTTACCATGCTCACCCTACTTTACTATGCACACCTTACCTTACTATGCATACCTTACCTTACTATGCACACCTTACCTTACTATCCATACCTTACCTTACTATGCACACCTTACCTTACTATGCTCACCCTACCTTATTATGCACACCTTTTCATTACTATGCATACCTTACCTAACTATGTTCACCTTACCTTACTATGCTCAACTTACCTTATTATGTTCACACTACCTTACTATGCACGCCTTACCTTATTATGCTACCTTACCCTATTTTGCACACCTTAGCTTACTATGCACACTTTACCTTACTATACACACCTTACCTTACTGTGCATACCTTAACTTACCTTCTCCATTTGCCTGAATATCAAATTATAGCACCTCTTTTCAGGCTATGTTTGCAATAATCTAACAACATTTGAGAAGTAAATTGTTTTGCATTTTTGCTTTGAAAAAAATTATGATCTTTAATGGCCCTCTTTCCTGTCCCATCTGAGGCAACAATAGTATATTTCTCCTAATGACTGCTCACCCCCTTGGCCATAATTTCAAACAGCCCCCCTCCTCCCTCACTTTCTTAAATAGGAAGGATACAAGGAAAATTTGTTTCTATTGCTGTCTTATTTGCAACTTTTTAAGTAGAATCAGTATAGGACAACAGTTTCTTTCCCACCCCAGTAGTCTCTATTTCTCATGGGCTTTTTGAGTTCCTTTATATGTGTTATCTGTGATTTTATTTTAATGTCCTATTCAGGAATGTAGCTAAAGTTTTTAACAGGTGGGAATCTTGCAATGATAGGCAGGTATTTGGGCCAAAGGCCCACTCTAGTGTGCCTTTGGCATGCTATACCTAGATTTGAAGGTGTAAACAAATGAAATAAATAAATAACAATCTTCTGACAACATTTAAAAACATTTTGGAGAAAGAAGTAGTGCTTCACAGCTGGAAAAATCGCGTCTACAGCCGGGTAATTTTCCCGGCCTCTGGCTATTATCTACATCCCTGCCTATTGCTGTGGTAACGTAATAAACACCCCTCTCCGATAAGCATCCTCCTTCCAATAAGTGCTTCCCCACCCCCCTTTCAGCCAAAATTTTAAATAAGTGCCTAGGCAGTTATTTGAGGAAATAAGGTGTGTGCATTTTGTTGTTTGTTTTTCTTAACTGTTGTCGTGTCTAGTAATGATGGTGCTTGCTGTTTATAAATGTCATGTAAGGCAATGCTTTTCAAATGCAGATTTTCTAAGCATCAAGTTGTACTGAGCTTCATTGGTGATAAAGATGAGCGAGAAGAAATAAAGAATTCAGTCAGAATTGTGTTCAAATCTCAGGTATTGTAATCATTCAGTACTTTTAAAAATAGGATTGATGTGATTCTATTAAATTTTCTAGAAAATTAATGAAAACTTCTAATTTTCTACCAAATTCCCCATTTTCTTTTCAGGTTTGGATGACAGTGATTCAGGGTGTGAAATTAATTTTTTTTTTCTGATAGCCACTTGGCTCCTAAATTCTTCAAAGTGGTAGCCAATTCAAAAAAAGTTGGTCGCCATTTTCAGAGACAAACAAAACCTTTTTTTACGCTGTCAGCACTCTAGAGAGACCCTCCAAATTAAGTTAGGGGAAAGATCTTTAACGTGCTACAAAGTGGACACTAGGAGGGATGATATACAACTCTCAAGCTCACCTAAATTCAAGATGGCATCTAGTTATCGATCAAGATGCATGTGCTGCTTTTTGGAAACAAACTTAACGAGGAAGTTTGCCGTGGATTTATCTTTGCAAATCTTTTTAATTCATGATATCTCTTGGTAAGGTTATGATGAAACATTCTAGTCACCAATTTGGCAACTAATTTTCAGGATTTGGTCGCCAAAGGGAAAAATTTAGTTGCATTGGCGCCTGTATTAGGCGCAATTTCACGCCCTGTGATATGCAAATTTACACTCTTCAAAGCCCATTAGGCAGCACTTTCTAGAGATGAGGAGGCATTAACCCTTTAACTCCCAGATCAAATTTATAATTCTCCTTACTGTCAATCACTCAATTCTTATAAATAATATTAGTTCAGAGAACTTAGTATTGGATCAACTAATTATTCCCAAATTGATATTTTTCTTTATTCATATCTCATGTCTGGTTGATATTGTATTGATATTGTAAGGAGAAATTCTGTCACTTGGTCACTCATGGGAGTTAAAGGGTTAAATGTACTCAGAGTAATATCTTCCAACCTCTCTGGTCCATGTCATATCTTGAATGAGTGTTGTGAATTCCCAATGGGATGATCATGTTGTGTGTGTTCATTCTAATTTAAAGACTTATTTGTAAGTGTATGGCTTAAGGAATTTACTGCACTTTTGATTGGCTTGAAAATGTCATGTGGTGATATTAATGATTTATTTTGTGTGGGATTTTTATCTTTCAGAATGCTGTCCATAGAAATGAGTCTCTTTCATTTCATGTCCTTCTTACCACATATGAAGTATGTTACATACTGATAATTAATTAATTAGGTTATGATATTATTGTTACTTAATTATCTGGTACAGGAATTATGTATAAATATATGTAGCGCTTAAAATAAAATATTAAGTGCTTTTGATCATTTTAATCTGAAAAGGGCACTATATTAATTTTTAAAATTATTTATTATTATTATCATTATGATCAATAATGGTAGTTGATAGATTTCATTTAATTTAAAAATATAGAGATATGTATATATGACTTGTACCAGAGTTTATATACATGTGATTGAATGTACAGTATTTATGGTGTTTCATTAACTTTGATTTTTCATGATTTGTATTGCATTTGTCGTTATGATTATAATACTAAGGAAAAGTGAGGTCAAACTAAGTTATAACATAGCTAGTAAATTTGTCTAATCAAATTCAATTGCATGAAAATACTTCATATTCCTATTGTGCACAGATATGACATCAACAAACAAATCCCTCGAGAAAAAAATTTTCCATCAGGTTGAAGATGTTATAAAACAATTGCTTCATATGTCAGCTGTGCGTTCATCCAGATATGAAGCACTTGGGAAGTTTGAAGAGCACTCAAGAAACTAGAGTTTCTCTTGGCTACACCTTGATTAGTTGAAAGATAATAAACCAAGGAAAAATATCAACCACACTGTACACATTGTATCATAATGTGTGTTTTGATTTATCTTTTACTGGCAGATGTGTTTACGGGAAACAACTTTCCTTTCAAAGTAAGACTGTTATATATTTAAAATAATTTGTTGGATTGAACTAATTGCAAATATTCCTACTCTAAAGATTACATGAATTTGCCAACAAATTCAAAACATGGTACAATTTTAGTAGTAACCTGTGGTAATACTCCACAGATTCCACTGGAAAGCAATGATAGTGGATGAGGCTCATAGATTGAAGAATTCCAGGTCTTCTCTTTATCAAGAATTGTCTCAGGTTTGTGTTGATTGAGGGTGAATACTAGTTGAATATTTTTGTGCAGCCACTGCATTCGCATGCAGTTTTTATCAGTGGGTTTGATTTTATCAAGTTATACTGACTGAAATTTAAATATTTTGATTCAAATGACACCATGATCTATGCTTTAAATAAAATCAAAACTAGAGAAAAATTTGTTTGTAGTCACATATGCTCTGACTGATAACACCCTTCACTTCTACAATTTCATGGTTAATTCTCCAACCATGATATGATACTTAATTCTTTCCTATGAAGACCACATACCTGTAGCCATTTCTGAGTGCTGAATGTTTTGTCAAGGTAACATCTCTTGATTGATAATTCTCATTCCTGGTCTCCTCAACAGTGTAATTAAATTGCAATGATAATAGTAACACTGATCTTTACATAGGATATAAGGTTGAACTGCTCCTTTTTAATCTTTTTTTTTTAGTTTGAAAAAGACTTTGTGGTATTGCTCACAGGAACACCAGTACAGAACAACTTGAATGAAGCAAGTTAATTTTTAATTTATTAAGATTTAGATCATTAACTTTCACTGAATGTGTCCCAAAAATTGAGTTGAACCTCAGTTATATCATATTATTACTCAGTTATTGCACTGCTTTTGATTTTTATGCAATGATTTTGACTGGATGCGAATGTTTTTTGCTTTATTTTAATAAGAAAAAACTTCCCTGATGAATTAATATGTGGATAGATTCATTTTCATGTGACAATGCTCTAATTACATGTGGTTTGTTTTATCTGTTAGCTGTATTCCTTGCTCTCATTTGTGAGCCCTGACATCTTCACCCTTGATGCTGTAGAGGAATTTGTGGAGCAGTTCACAAATGTTGACAACTCAGGTACTATACTGGGGATACGTTTATTTGGTAACCTTAACCAATTGGTGAAAATGTTGTTAACTATTAGAGTTAAGTTGGAGACTCACCCAAATGATACTAGTGTCAAAGTTTCCTTTTACTGTGAATTGAGTTTGTTTTTGGTTCTCTTCCTTGCTCTAAGTGTTTTTATATGGGTTTGACCTTGGTTTGCTGCTCACTGAAAAAATCAATAATCCAAATTCAAATTCCAGACCTAGAAAGAATGGGAAAAAAGAGCCACCTTGTGGAATTTCCACTGCTAAATTCACATTCCCATGTTTAGTCTACTGCTAAATTCCCATTAATAATAATAATATTATTATTATTATTGTTATTGTTATTGTTGTTGCTGTTACTGTTGCTGCTGCTGCTGCTGGTGTTGTTGTTGTTGTTATTGTTGTTGTTTTTGTTGTTATGATTATTATTATTTAAGTTATAGTGATTTATCTTTGTGCTGCATTTTTGTCAGTCCTACTACCGTTGTCTTACTTATCATCGTTATATACTGCCAAAAAACAAAAATAATGTTTTAAAATGACATTTTAAGTTGATTATTGTAGTGCTACTCATGATTTCAGACACGAGTACAGAGTTACAGAATATTTTGTCTCCATTTTTGTTACGTCGAGTTAAGTCCGAGGTGAGTGACATTATTCACTTGAAGGTAAAAATACTCCTTTTTAGATGTTTATGAATGAATAACCTCTGACACTTTTTAAGTTTCAACAAAGAAAGCAAAATTAGTTTATGCCAAATAATTTCATAAAGTTATGTCTTCTTTTTAACTTCTTGTTGGACTTAATTTCCTTGAACATACTGTGATGTGAATTTTCAAGTTCAAAATTGATGAAATTCTATTACTAATGATTATATGTCTGTAAAAAAATGTAAGATAATCACATAATTTGATGATAAGTGGCATTTTCATTATCAGTGTTTTTCTCATTGAAGGTGATGGCACATTTACCAAGAAAGACTGAGGTGAGAAGTGCATTCTACAAATTTAGTTTTTTTTTTAATGAAAGATATACTAGAAATAATTTTTGTTTTGTTTTGCAAGTGGGTGAGATAAAGATATTTCTTTTGAAGGAGGCTTTTCATAACATTATATTTACCATTATTTTTTTTGGATGATTTTTGATATTGTAAAATGCCTTTAAACATTAGGGTAATGGTGCTGAACAATTATCTTATTATCATTCTGATTGGCTACACGAGCAGGTTCAGGACTGTTCAGGATTACCTGCTTTGTTCTCAGAAAACTGAAAATCTTCAGGCTAATCGTTTGGCCATATTCATATTATGCTCTTACAGAGTTAACTTGTTCAGTCAAAAGCTGGATGATAGGATTTTTCACATTGAAATGGGATAATCATGTTATATATTACTTCATGATTTGTGGATGTTGCAACCAAATAATGTTGTGAATTTCAACTTATTAAGGCTGTAAGACTCTGTAGATCCAACTGATGAACAGTAATTCTGATTGAGTAGGTCCTTCTTTACACTGGTATGACTGATTTACAGAAAAGATATTACAAGGCAATACTTATGAAAGATTTGGGTAAGGAGTTTCAATACTGAGTTAAGCAAATCTAATTGGTTGTTGCTTGCATGCATTAGTGGTGAAAACTTTTAAAATTTAAGAATTAATTGTTTGATACTTAATAAAATTCTTTCAGTGTATCTTGTAGATTATTATTGAAGTTGTGTTTTATATTTAGGGCATTTGAATAGGAGAGGTGTAATTATTGAGGCATAAATTATTTCATATTTATGGTATTTTAATAGAAAAATATGGTTTTTCCGCATGCAAGTGTTGGCATTTTTAGAGTCAAAACCTCGGAGAAAGAACCAATGAGGAGAGTAATACCACAACTAAACAAACGCTACAACATTTTACTTTGCAAGGAATTACAAAATTGGGCTGCTACTGTACTTCACAATCTTTTTGATGGCATAGCCATAGGCAAATAGTTTATTTTTAAAGAAACGCCAGAGAGAATCCTTGAAGGAATGGCTAGGTTTTCTTCACAACAAGCTCCCGTTTTGCGTAAAACTAATAAAAATGAGGCTCTTAAAATACTGTGTTACATAGAAAGTACTAGCTTTCTGCTGTATGTCATGCAAACGTTAGGATGATCTATTTACCAACCTATGTCTTTTTGTTTTCCAGATGCCTTCAATTCTGCAAGTGGTTTCATGAAGACAAGACTTATGAATATTCTAATACAGCTCAGAAAATGTATCAATCATCCATATTTATTTGATGGTAATGCTTCTGAGAAGTTGAAAGTTCTCTTCATTTAGATTTAATCTTTCAAAAACTAATTATATTCAGTATTTTCTCTGTCGGCTTTTTTTAAAGGCCCCTGTGATTCCAGATCTAGAATAACTACAGTTCAGATCATCAGGTCTTGGTCACCGTCGAAGGCGTACGTTCGGGATGTCACGTAACGCTTCTTTCTTCTGAGGGAAAGTGTCGCGTGACACCCCACAAGTACGGCTGCTAAGGATACATACTTATTTTCTATTTTTCAAACTGGCTGAATCTTTGTTCATAAATGAAATCAAAGCTTTTTGGAAATTTGTCTTTTAATGTACTGGTTTTTAATTTTGTTTCCAAGGAGTGGAACCTGAGCCATTTGAACTTGGGGAACACCTTGTTGATGCAAGCGGTGAGTTAAGATTTGTATAATCGGGGAAGGTGGCGAGGTCCAGGTATGTCTTTGCCCACGTGATACTCATGTTAAATTTTCGTTACGGAATTAGAGGAAAATGGTTGAAAAAACATATCTTATGATGGAATCTCTAGAGAGATTTTCTGCGAAGAAAGCCTTTTGCTCACGGTTTTTATGAGTGATCAGTTAATAAGCAATCATTGGATGAATTATCAAAGGCGAGGTCTGAGATATCCGCCTAAAGCTGAGGCAGATAACACAGACACGAGGTTTGATAATTCACGATATCCTCGAAAACCGAATTCAATAATTGTTTCATTATACATTTTTTAAACAATCTGCCAAAGAAGACACTTCTCACTGAGTTAGCAAAAGTTTGAGAACACTGCGCGGACAAGGAGCCGGGAAACTAGGCACACTTTTAACTCGACGTGATAACCCAAAATCTGCTGCAGATATTGGGTTAAAATATCAACTTTACACGCTATTGTATATTGACCGAATGCTTTAGACCAATCAGAGTTTTCATTGTAAGTCTAATGTATAATAATACTATTTATTTGTGTTGGTCAATTTTCAGGGAAACTTCGAATTATTGACCAGTTGTTAATTTTCCTTAAAGCAAGGTCAGTTCAAAGCCAAACTGCACGTCAACGAAACGAAGTAAACACAAAATTAAAAATAGGGGTTTGCCAATCGACAGTGGTGTGCTTTATGACACTCCGAGATTACGTTTGGTTACGTTTTTTTTGCGATGTCACTTTGCGTGATTTTTTTCCATTCCGATTTTTGTGTTGTGCTACGCTTCCATTCGTTTCATCTCGTCATTTTATGCCTAATGTCCCTATTCGCTCCACAGGGGACACAAAGTTTTAATGTTCTCACAAATGACAAGAATGTTAGACATCATTCAGGACTACCTTGGTTACAGAGGTAAGCAAACCCTATCAACTGATTCTTGTTTAGGTAGACGTAGGATGTCTTCCGTCCGTTGAAACCCTCATTCTACCTCAACGAATCGATCATTCGAAGATTCTACAAAACAATAGTATTCAATCACAAGCATCGCAATCCCAACAGGAATACTTCTTTAGGAGGCTATAGTCACATTACGGATCGAAAAATTATTCTAACTTTTTTAGGACGAAGAATTGCTTCCCCTTTCCAATTCCTCTTCATTCTGACAATTCTTTTTGGGTAATTACATCGTTCTTTTTTTTTCTTTCTAGCCAAAACAGTATTTCAGTTTTGGTTTCAACTAATTTGAGGTAGTTTTGTCAGTCAACAAATCAAAATAGACAGTGTAATAATATATTGTCTTAATTGTTTCAACAACAAGTAAGATCCCTTATGTCCATAGGATATTCCTATGAACGACTGGATGGTTCTGTCCGTGGAGAGGAACGCTATCTTGCCATTCAAAACTTTAACGAAACAGAAGACACTTTTATATTTCTTTTGAGCACGAGAGCGGGTAAGGCGACTAATATTGAGATTTGTGCATTGTGGCTAACCGAAGAATTAAGACACCTTCCTGCGGTTGGGATTCCGATCGGAA